GTCTTCAGCTCCAGGCAAGTAATTCTGCCTAGACCGATATGTCATCATCAAACTGTTGCAGGCAAAGGAATCACTTCCTTACTCTCCTCTCATTCTGTGATCAAACAGCAACATTGTAATTTTGTAGCAATTTACAAGGTGAGAGGCTGCAGCATTTTTGTCCAATCTATTTGTCCCTCATGACAAACTACTTGTCATGATACAAAAAATAATTTTAACCAAAAACCATATTAAACCGTGTTAAGAAGTGCTTCTCATTGGTCAACCAGTTGACTAGATTTAAGCGAGTAATTTCATTTTCCCAAATTACTTGGGAAAATGATCTTACCCTTTAATGCACATTGTGCGTGATAGAGAGTGCTGCTGCCCTGCCACTACAATATGAATAGCAGAATGGGGGCAGCACCCAGCGCGCACACAATGCCCTATGCATGAGTTTATTCACATGCAGATGACGGGGTGGTGGGGTTGGTTTTAATTTTGAATTTCTATTCATTTGATTGTTTTTTACTTTTTTATCACATAACTATTGCTATCACACAAGGACTAACAAGCCCCTATGTGATAGAGTTTGGAGGTGACAGGTTCTCTGGAAACATGGATGTCTCCATAATTAGACTAGATATCCCCCTATTAACCCCTTCGTGACTGACGACGTACAGTGTACGTCGCCAGCATCGGGGCTGTTTAAACAGACTCCCGGCGACTTTTGCCGCCGGGGGTCTGTTTAAACTTGTAGAGCCGACTGTCGGCACTCCAATACAGAAGACTAAGCACAGCATTGTGCTTGATCTCCTGTGCAACCTGGCTTGTGACAACGGAGACAGAAAGCGTCCTGAGTACGCTTCTTGTTTTGTGACAGTCTGTATCAATGAAGAAGATGGATTATTGACACAAGACATAGGTGTGCTGGGGACATTTATCATATATTTGAAGAGGCACAATGCCATCGGTGGTTACTACAGCACCCTCCTTTATACGTAGGGGTTCCGGTAAGGAGTGCAGCAGTTCCTCTCCTAGACTGAGTGCGCTCCTGTCTCGCTGATTACACAGAGCAGATCGGAAAACCGAAGTTCTCTGGTCTGCTCCCCGCTCCCCATCCTGAAGTAATTTCCAGAATCCCCCAGAGGAGCAGGGGACCCCAAAAACCACAGCGAGGGGGTAGGGCGGGGACGAGCAGGCTGCTTCAAGTGATCACTTGTACAAAACAAGCGATGGCTCCCCTGCTCTACATTTAGCCCTTCTTGCCTGTAGCAGGGTTAAATGTAGAAAAAAAAAACTGCCTGCCGCCAGGAATTGCATGCCCCGGATGTCGGACTATAGGCATCGGGCATCCCTGACTGTTAAAGGGTACCTGTCACCTTTATAATGATGCTATATAGTAGTTGCATTTGTTTACATGTAAAAAAGTACTTAACACTTATCAAAGGGGGATGCGACTGCAGCGCTGCAGGTCTCATGAAGCAGCCAGAGCA